CCTCTCTCTCTCTCTCTCTTTCTCTCTCTCTCTCCCTCTCTCTGTCTCTGTCTCTCTCTCCCCCTGCTCCCCCCCCGGGGGTGATCCTTGTCTCTTCCGGCTTCTCCAGTCCCTTAGCAATCCTCACATGACATGTGTCTTCTCCTGCTCTGCTGTGCTTCCTTGTCTCTGTTGCTCTGTAGGACTCACAAGTGATTAGGTTTAGAACCCACTCTATGCTGATACGACCTCAATAACACAACAAAGAAAACCCTATATCTAAATAAGGTTATAGCCACATGTTTAAAACCAAAACACCAAACCTGTCACCTTCAACGCCATGCTAGAGTAAATTGTACCCTATAGAGTTTTCATGGCTGTGACCTTTTGGAAGCAGATCACCAGGCCTTTCATTCAAGACACCGCTAGATGGGCTTGAACTGCCAATCTTTCGATAAGTAGCCAAGTGCTTAACCATGTGAACTACCAAGGGAGCCCATCCACCTGTGTAGGGATTAGAATTCTAAGACATATATGGACTGGGAGACACAATTCAATTTCAGTCCATAAGACCTTAAGGCAGAGAAAGAGTATGAGGTACTACCAAGGCACACAGCAAAGGGTGTGGATTTAGGGAGGGGGAAGGACCAAAGTCCTTACTCATCACGCTGCACCCAACCACCCAAGGGGTTTGACAAATGTGTGTTTTTGTCTCGTAGGAAACCAGAGAGTATGAAGTCTCCATCTAAGGAGAGCTATAGCCTGGAAGAGACCTTACACATATGAACTCAACTACAACCTCCTCAAGAAATCCATCCACAGATCATGTGGCATTTGATGGAACCCCTAGAGCGTCACTGTCTTTTCTTTAGACTCTTTATTGAAGACTTTCTGTTCTCTTCACTGTATTTATTATATTTAACGTTGAAATCGGATGTATTGGGGCTGCAGCTAGAGGCCTGCTACAGGCTCAGTTCTGAAGGCATGTGGGAGATTCTGAAAAATGGCAGGACCAGCAGTGGCGGGAAAGCAGATGGAATGTCCACAATCCGCTATGCCATGGGAAGGCTGCATCCAGTTGTAGGCATCTTTGGGGTCCATGCCCTTGGTGTTTTTAGTACAAACCTAAATTCCAAGATTAGGAACCCCTAGGTGATGCAAGTGGTTAATACGCTCAACCGCTAGCCAGGAATGCTGGAGGTTCAAATCCACCCAGAGGAGGTGCCTCAAAAGAAAGTCCTGGTGGTTTTACTTCCCCCAAAATTCAGCCACTGAAAAGTTTACAGAGCACAGTTCTAGTCTGTAAGTTGGAGTCATCTTGACAACAACTGGTTGGGTTGTTTTGTTTGGAAGGAGAAGTTCTTGCTGGGTTCACTTGAGTTGGGATTTAGCGTGGGTACTTAATATTTTGTATCCTCTTGCAAATTTGCCAGCTTCAAGAAGGTCTTGCCACCTCCCCTCTATCCCACGGGTGTTCTGAAGGCAATGTGTTCACTGAATGCTCTCTATTAACCACCCTGTCCTCACTGGATACTGGCAACGTCAAGCAGTGTTTTCTTTCTGAAAAGGTGATAAATGACAATGGAAATTTTCAGGTAGATTGAGGCACGTAAGTGTTCCACTGAAGAATGGAGTGGGGGTGTAGTTGGGTGAAGGATTTGAGTTAATCCAATGTTCTTTTCTTGGATGCTCCTTTGATCATGGAAGACTCAGTCATTCATATGCATGGGTCAGGTGTCACATCTGAGATGCTCTGCCTTTCTCCTGGGGTGCTGAAATGCCTTTACCTCCCAGGAAAGGGAGCCCCAAGTGCATCGTCCTCTGTGAGGTGTCACCTTCAGAATATACTTGCAGTCAAGTGTTCAGGGAATGGAGGGGCCTCTAAGAAGAAATTATTTTTCCATTCTCCGAAGCTCTGTCCAGAATTTGGAAGGGACAGGGAGTGCTAAGAGCAGGAACAGGGTTAGGACCACAGCAGACCATAGAGAGGAATCTGTGTCTTATCATCTGAGCATCATTGGGACACAGGGCCAGAATGGAATGCTGAGTGCCATGTCTAATGACACAAGCATCCTTTTGCTTCACCAGGGTCCTTTTACCCCCTATCCAGAAGACTCCATGAGTATGTCTCTAGGAAGATGCTTTCATCATCTAAATACAGGTATAAAGAAGAGCCAGAGAGTGTACATGCAAGAAGTCAATAGGACATGTGGGATGGATTCACTTCCTGGGACCCAATGGTGATGGGTGATGGCTCAGGGAACCACATCGGCTCACTGGTTCTGGATCCCATTTGGACACCCTCCTGCTCAATCTAAGATTGCTTTATACCAACTGGTTCCCAAACAAGAAAAGCTCTTTCTGGCTGTAGTATCATTAGGAGCGTAACTGGGAGTCCACACTGAGTAACTGTGTAGGAGACACCTTCTTGAGCAAGATAAAGCAGTGAATTTTACACACACACTGCCCCCTACAGGAAGCCTAAAGCTCAGTCTGAACCTGGTATCATTTCCTTCTACCAAAAATAGAATCTTATGCGCCTGTTCCTTAAGGTCTACATTCATGGCACATGGCAAGAGGTAACCCCTAAACCTCGCCCATTTTGTAAAAGAAACAGAGGTGAGATATTTCAGGTCTCTCGTGAGCAATGTTAAGTTTGGAGAAAGACCAACAAAAGCATTGTTTTTAAAGAGGTGGAATCTAATCCTTGCCTTTGTGTCTATTTGATGCTTGTTGTAACCCAAATCCTGAGTCATCTGGAACGAAAAATTCTATTCGTTATATTGGATTTTAGAACATACTGCGGTTATTTAAAATGAAACCTTGGCCTTTCATAAATACTGACATAATATAAAATCTTTATTTACCCACTCCCTGAAACCAGTTAGGTCATGGCCCAGGTATTCATGCAGGAGTAATAACACAGGTGTTGAAATTTTCTCCTTTTTCAGGATCCCAGTTTCATTGTTTTTTCTTAGTTAATGCAGCACCTATAACCATGGAAATGTCTTAAAAGTTTGTTTTCACCTAGAGATGGTGTGCGCTCAGACTCTGCAATGTACAGTGTGATTGACAAGTTGAGGTCTACTGTTTTTCTTTTTTTTTAAATATCTGAATGTGTATCTGTAATACGTAAAAGTAACGATGACAACAACAAAAGTAATAGTAGTGCCAAAAAAAAACAAACAAAAAAGGTACCAAGTATCTCATTTCAATTCCTACATATCTGTTTTTATACAATCGAGATGGAAAACATTGGAGTTCAATATTTTTGAACAAGATACACTCTCGAGAAACTTGAGAATGGACTGAACCTTCCTACAAGCCACTCTTTGTTTTTAAAAACAGTGGGGGGAAACGTTTACAGAGATCGCGAGCTTCAGAAAATGCATGTGATATGGCCTGTATTACATGCTACAATATACATGAGCTGCATCTGTCAGCTGCTGCCCTATCTCGAAAAATGCACACTCTTGACCCTCTTCCGCTTGGAGCTTACCCTTTTGCTTTTTTCCTTTTCTTTTAGTAGATATAGTCAATATAAGTATCTGATTGCTATTTGATGGTCGTCCTTGTGGAAGTTCCAGAGACATGCTTTATATTGACCTTTGGAAGAGCTGGGAGCTGATAGCTTTGGAACCTGCCCAACATCCCAGAAGGAAGCAGAGCAGCTTCGTTCAAATCCAGGGAACCATGGAAGAGGAAAGGACACAGTAAACCTGAATATATGAGTAGATTAAGACAGAAGTATAAGCCTAGGGCAAACATGTCCTTTTCTTGGTGTAATTCCAAAGGCATGTCTTTTCTATGCCCTCAAGTAGGCATGGTGGGTCATTTGGGGTCAGGTATTATTGAGGTGTCCAGCACCCCCAAAGCTAGGCTTTCTCATGGGAGATTTTCATTTTCATTTTCTCCCACACACAAAATAAAAAGCAAAACAAACTTTCTAAGCTAGAATAATGAAATGAAGTCATTTTCCACTTTGTATATATTGATGCTAATAAAACAAATGAAAAATATCCAGTCTATGGGCTTTTTGTTGCCAGTGTCTCCAGCGGGCACCAAGTGGATTTAGGTTGGGATAACACCCACAGACACTGTGAACACCAAGAAAGGGTTGAGAACACACAGGGATTTTTGGAACAAGTCGGGTCTAAAGGAAATGCTGTCATCAGACACATCATTGTCCTCCCCACAGTCCTAGAAACACAAGAAGAAACAGCAGGGAACATATAAAAATGATGTTCACTTGGAAGTCTGGCAATGCTGTTACTTCCCAGTGGATAATGGAGGGATGTTTTCACATCTCTTAGGATACAGCCATATTTGAATTAACCCAATGTCTTAGGAAGGAGCCCTGGTTATGCAATGATTAAACACTCAGCTGCTAACTGAAAGGTCAATGGTTCAAATCCACTAGTGGTTCCAGGAAACCAGAGACCTGATGACCTCTTCTCATAAAGAGTATAGCCTAGGAAACCCTATGGGGCAGTTCTGCTCTGTCCTAAAAGGCCACCATGACACATAAGATAATAATGTCTTGAGTTGGGCTTCTCAGAAGCAAGCATTTAGACAAAGATTCAAATGCCAATCATTTATTCACTATGTGAGCCCACAAAGCATCCATAGGGGAATGAGAACATGACACCAAGAAGAGAAAGAAGCCTGGAAAAGGTACACTGATCAAGCACATTACCACAGAGGGCATCCAGGGCTTCACTCCACTGGGAATTCTGGAAGACCAGGTAGAACAAACCTGTGAGTCACTTCACCTAAGGGAGGAGAGAGTTGGGGTGCTTACCCACCAATCCCTACCTGTCTTAGATTGAAGGATGCTTCTCAGAGGCATGCCCTAGGTCCCACTGGCATGCCTTGCTCACAACAAAACCCTCAAAGAGGTTTATGCGTTTGTAGGTTGAGATCACTTGGGTGGAGTCAGTGGGAATGATGAGTGCCCAGGGGATGTGGGCAGGGCTCCCACAGCATCCTTTGTTGTCATTGTTAAGTGCCATCCATCTGGTTCCAGCTCACAGTGACCCCAGGCACAAGAGAAGGAAGCGATGTCCGGTCCTGCGCCATCCTCACAATCATTGCTATGTTTGAGCTCATTGCTGCTGCCACTGTGTCATTCCATCTCATTGAGGGTCTTCCTCTTTTTGCTAACTCAGGAACAGATTCCTCTTGATACTATATCCAAGGTATGTGAGATGAAGCCTCAACATCCTCATTTCCAAGGAGTGTTCTGGCTGTGTTTCTTCCAAGACATATTTGTTCGTTCTTCTGGTAGTTCACGGTATATATAATATTCTTCTCCAACACTAGAATTCAAAGGCATTAATTCTTCTTGGGTCTGCTTTACTCATTTTCCAGCTTTTGCGTGCATATGTTGTTGTTGTTAAATACCATCGAGTTGGTTCTGACTCATAGCAACCCTGTTTAGGGCTTCCAAGGAGCAGCTGGTGGGTTTGAACTGCCAACCTTGTGATTCGCAGTCCAATGTTGATCCTACAATTGCATATAAGGCAATTGAAAATACTATGGGCCAATTTCCTTATTATTACACCAATTAATACTAGAATCAATCATCAATTAATTCATCAACATATATTATTACCACCTACTATGTATAGGGAACATGGCATCAGGGATAGAGGAAGACTCATTAACAACCTGCTATAGGCAGATGATACAGCCTTGCTTGCTGGAAGCAAAGAGGACTTAAAATACTGACTGGTGAAGATCAAAGACC